CTGAGTGGCTTCTCCGTAGACTGCTCCTTGCCAACCTGGATTATGCTTTAATATTTTAACTTTTCCCATTACTTTGTCAAACCTGCAGGAGATTCACCATTTCCACTGTTTCCACAATCTTCACTTGCACTTACTGTGTGAAGCCTTTGAATGCACAGGATCAAATCAAAGCTACTCCTTCTGACCATCCAAATTACAAACACACTGACTGTGATGCATTATTTTAAAATTGCCTGTTAAAATTTAAAAGGATTTCCAAATATTTTTAATAATTCCCTAAAACAGTTTAAGGGCATCTGTTAAAGTATTGAATTTCCTTAAAGGCAGCACTGGTTGGGATTGCTTCAGCTGCAAATTAGGGTTGTCAGTCAAAGTGCTTTTTCTGTTTTAGTCTCTGATCTAGGAGTTTTTAGCATCCCTTCCAAAGTGAGCCAAAGACAGCCAGCTAGCGAGCTGTTAGGGCTTGTTTTGCCATGTGTTTAACCTAGCAAACAATCAGTCGATACCTTTTGCAAAGTCTTCTGTATTTTACTGGATTCCTCACTGCTCAGTGAGGAAACAAGCTATACTGTTTTGACGTATTTTTGTACTTTCCACATTCTTTATTCTGCAGCATATGTCCAATGTTTTAATGTATTGAGTAGCTGTGGCAACTTCTTTTCTGTGTCTACAAACATTTGCACTGTTGTTAAGCTATTGGGTCTGCTAATGAGGGGCTGGAGTAAGAGGCAGAATGATGTATTTACTATGTAGGATTTCCTGCAGAGGTGAGTAGTGGATTCGTGGTGGGCTGGAAGTATATAACCAGCCCAAAAGAGTCCTTAAAAGATCCCAGCCTCACCTGCCCCCAGAAATGGAGCTGCAGCCCAGAGCAGGGTGGGATCCTCCGTTGGTGTCCAGCAAGGTAAATGCTTAAAATAAATCGGAAGCAAACAGGAAAACATGGAGAAGGAAAAAAAAATGCATCCTACTCCCATCAATGTCTCTACCTCAGTTTCTCCAGCCAAATGATCAAAGGAACCACTGGAAAGAAACAAGAATGTAAAATAGTGTCGGAAAGGAGGTGACCACTGATTTAACTGGCAAAGTTGAGTGGGAAGTTAAATCAAAGGCTGTAGTTCAGTGCAGTGCAGTGAGGTGGCTAAGATGGACATGAACTGGGACTCTGCTAACAGAACACAGTTAATGGAGGGTTGTTGTCAAGAGGTTGAAGTCATAACAGCCGAGTCTGGGCATAAAGAGCAAGTCAGTGGCAGCGTGTGGGCAGGGAGCAGCATCTGCTCTTGCAAGGAGAGGTGCGGAGAAACCTTGTCTCCGTGTTTGTGATGAGAGGAAGAAGAACAAATGACAGAGAAAGAGTTTTCTCAGTACATCAGATAGCATGCAGGCAGTGAAATATGTTGGGTTATTGTGTGATCGGTGATATCAAATGTATTTTATCTCAAATGTGCTTTTCTGAAGAATTGGGTGGAACCTGTTGGAGAGAAACAGGTAGACAAAGAGAAGATGATTATTTTCTCTACTTTTCTGAACCCAGAGAATACTTAATCCAGTTTTCCGTTCACTTCAGTTTTCTTTGCATCAAGTCCAAGAGTAAAATATATTTATTTCTTTAATATTATTTATCTGGAAAGATTCAGAACTGGATTGTTGTGTATTATACTTCAGAAATGTTGTGTGTCTCATACTTAGTGTTATAATTAAAGTCAGACATGCTTATTTATTGCATGCTGATAGTCTAACTCTAGGTCTAGCAAGTGTTATGACAATTTGTGAGAATATTACTTCACTACATAATTATTTTTATTGTGCCGATGATGCCATTTTGATTTGGATTTCCATTTGCTCATGTGCATCAGAATACTTAATTTTGTGTCATGATAACATGAAAGTGTAAGAGAAGTGAAGGGTTTTGCCCTTTCAGTTACAATTTCTGTTTTAAGAATTTTTTAATGTTTTGATTATTTTTGTTCTGTATGATTGAAGGAAGCTGGCGTCATCACCAGGCTTGCAACGGCAGAAACATTTTTTAAATGTTTAGTGTGTAAAAGATGTTGGTGTTGTTACCTTTGTAAACAGCAGATGATGGACAGAAAATCTGCAGAATTTTCAGCAAAAGGGAGTAATTTTTTCAGCTCTTTTTCATTTCTTAATGGAAGAAGAATTATGGAAATGAGAGGGGGCATTGCATTAAGTGCTTGAAATGTTCCTTCCCTGCAGACCAATAAAAACATAAGTCTTCCATTAGGGAAATTTAGATTTTTTGAAGGCTGCATGAATCTGAGCTCTGAATCAGTGAATGAGATGACTATGCTAGGGTAAGCGTTTCAAGGTCTGATTATGTATTTTAAGTTTTTCGTAGGTGGATACCAGCTCTTAGCTTGTCTTGTATGACTTCTTTGGAGCAACTTTTTCTGTGCCTCTTTTTATATTAACCACTTGGCTTATCTTGTAATACTTCTGTAGTGCAATCTCCTATTATGCAGATCAGTAACAGAGTTTCAAAGCCATGGGGACTGAATGATTTTTCCTACCTGAATTTGGACTAGAAGGTTTCCTGGCCTTTTCAGAACACTCCGGCTACTTGCATAACTCCATGAACAAAAGTCAAGTCGTGAAAGTAAAAAATGTGACCTGTCTGTGCTTGATATGGCATGTTTATAGTGGTTATAGTCTCACCTATGACTATAGATTATGCAGATTGTAGCTATCTGCCTTTAAAAATATCATTCATCTGTAAGTGTGAAATGAAAATGTAGCAGTAAGCTGCTATTGCTGGGGGTGTTCAAATTAGGTCCCTGATCCGGGCTGTGGAGAATTAATACCAGATCAAGTGGGTATTCAAATGAAGCCATCTTTTTTTTTTTCTGTGCTATTAACCATAAAATAGTAATCAACATTAATTTCTAGGTATGACTATAGATTATGCAGATTGTAGCTATCTGCCTTTAAAAATATCATTCATCTGTAAGTGTGAAATGAAAATGTAGCAGTAAGCTGCTATTGCTGGGGGTGTTCAAATTAGGTCCCTGATCCGGGCTGTGGAGAATTAATACCAGATCAAGTGGGTATTCAAATGAAGCCATCTTTTTTTTTTCTGTGCTATTAACCATAAAATAGTAATCAACATTAATTTCTAGGTTCTAGAATAACACAAATAAAAATGAATAAAAAGGAGCAAAAGCATTACCAGTCATTATCACTGCTCCTTCTACCTTATTAATCGTATTTCAGTGTCAGATATTGTATTACTGAAGCTGTCAAACACATCACAGAGGTATATAAGGATGATTTGTCCTCATTTAGTGTATGAGGAGACAGAGACACCACGAGCTTCTAAAACTTGTCCAAGGTCTGGAAATGATTAAGTGGAATTCTTTCTTTTTATTATTTTGATTTAGTTGTAAATAGTCTGAATGTAGCCATAATGGTCTAGTTATAATTGATCAAACAAATCTCATTTCTTCCTTTTTTGCTAAAGAGCTGATCCCATGGGTGCATGCAGCACAAATAGTTAAGGCATCAAATGTAATTATTGTGAATATTTGTTCACATGTGGGGCTGGTTTTATTTTAGTTTTTTGAGGTTTGTTTTCTGCAAACACTGCTGGGAATTGTTTACCAGTCACTGGAAGTGTTCCTTGAAGCTCCAGTCCATCACAGGACTCCCATGAGTGCATGCCTGTGCTCCTGTTATGTTTTATATGCAGACAACGTAGTCCTTCTGCCATGATCCAGAAAAATGGCATCAATGCAAGTATTAGTTATGTTCCTTATAAATTCAAGAGGCAAGGAGAACATGCCTGACCTACACAATCCTCCATCCCCATCCTGATTATTCATTCCTAACGGCAAGATTTTGAAATACTGGAAAGAGACTTTGGTGTAGGAAGTACATGGGCATAAAATTTTCAACTCCTTGCTGATTTTCTGGCTGTTTTATCCCCCCTACCAATCCTATGGCTTAGTCAGTTGATGAATTTAATCAGCTGCCTGCTTTAGACTTTATGAAGAGATACTGGCAGTGAATTTCCACCTTGCACGTTAGATTTTTGGCTGATTTATGTTGGGGTCACCCTGTGCTAGTGCCTTAGGTGGCTAATAGCCCCTGAGAAAGCAACTGTGTGGACTGGGGCTGCCTGTGGAAAACACAAGTTCCCGGGTGTCTTGGATACGTTTGCACACAGAAGGAGCCAGATGGTTTTCTCTGTGGGTTTTCTTTGGCTTCGCTCTGCGGGAGAAATACCTGAGATGGACGCTGCCAGGTAGCTGTGTGGCTCCTGTGTGTTAACAGCTGCTCTAACTCTTCTCTCAGAGGTATATTTAAAGCATAAAAATGAAAAATGGGTAGAAATCTGTGTGGTGAAGTGGGGAGGGGGGAAGATTTCATGTCTTGTGTATCTCCAGACCTGATGGGACGAGTCTGGTCCCAAGCTGGCATTCCAGACTGGAATGAGATGGTGGTACGTGCAGATAGTTCATGAGTGCTTTGAGACCAAAGGCACTTACTACACGTTAATATGGTTTTCTCATTCGCAGCCCTTGGGCACGGCTCACCCACATGGCTGTGTAGTATGCAGACACAGTCACCTGCTGGAGTCATCTGAAGCTGTGTGTGACATTGCAGATTTGACCCTGACATGCACTACTGCAGTCAGCCACCTCACCAAAACACCATGACCTTCGGGAAGCTTAGGTCAGGTCCCATATCACCTGCACATTTTAAAATAACATGTTGGTTGGCTTATACTGGCAATAAAGCTAACCATCCCTAAAACAAGGCTAGTCTCTGGGACATTATCTGGGCCAGAGGTGTGGACTATGGTTTTATCCTGGACAATAAAAACTAATGCAGGATAGCCTACACCTCAACCATGCGCCCAACCTTGGGGCCATTAACAGCAGCGCAGCAGCGTTAGGCAAAGCTCCAGGTGTCTCAAGCAGGCAGGTCTTGGGCAGTCATCCCCGTCTCACATGCTTGCTCTCGTGGTCTCGTTCCAGGGCAACCCACTGTATTTCCAGTCTGCCAGAAATGTGACAGTGAACATCCTCAATGAGAAGACTAAAGTCCTTACTCGCCTTGTAACAGGTAAGGAGGGGGAAAGGCTGCGTGGAAGAATTAAGGAGGGATGAAAGCGGGTGTGTTGTGGGATGCTGCGTTGGCTTTAGCATGCAGGAGGGGAGCCCAGGTGTCTTGTGAAGTACAAATGAAAACTTCGCTCCACTTTGTAGAAACAAAGCTAGAGACATGAAAGCCGTGCTGGAGAGGCAGCTGGCTGGTGCTTTCTGATCATGAAGCAGACCATCGTTTTCATCTGAGAGCCAATCCAGAGACAGAAAGGTTAGTTGTACGACTTCAGGGTCAAGAAGAATATATGCAGGGTGACATTTCTGTTGTAACAGGCACAGGCTTTTCCTGAGACACTTTTAACTTGCCTGACATCCTGGGAAGTCTGCTGATTAACTGTGGCTGGGTTGGGACGCTTTGCAATTTAGAGCTCTCTGTGCCCTTCTGCTAATGAAGAATGCCCTCATGCTCCCAAGCATGAGTGTGTTTGATGGGGAGATGGGTGTTTCATAAATCCCCATTGCACAGCAGCCTTTGAATGAATGCATGTGTAGTTTGGGTTGAAAGAGCCTAATGCATTATATAGTCAATTATATAATATATATGATATAGGATAGATATTTATTTATTGAGATTTATCTAGGGACTGGGAGAAGTATTGCCGTGTGGCAGAGTCAGTAATCCATAAACATGTTGTTTCTACGTGAGACTGGGTTGTTTGGTTTGCTTATATAACATCTTGGCCTCTAGTCACAGTATCAAATAATTAAATATGCAGCTTCAGTAAGCAATGATTTAAGCAGCACACATGAAAATTGCCTGGAGGAAGGAAATAAATTCAACCCCAAGCTCCCTGATTCTCACATTCAGAATGAATGTGTTTGGTTTGTTGGTTCTCCATATATTTTCAAGAGCGTATTTGGTTCACTTAAGCACCTCCATTTCACGCGCGCTTGGGAGGACGCAGTCAGTGACGTCTCCTGGTGTGATTTTCTGGTTATTGAGCTCATTTCTGTGTTGGGCAGCATCTTTGGTTTCAGAGCACAGCAAAGACGTGGTCCCATGTCGTGCGTGCTGCAGTGATGAGTAGGGAGGCAGTTAATTAGCAAGATACAAATCAAACTTAAAGCTCAAAAGGACTGGATTTTCTCAGAATGGCTGCTAGATTTTTAAGTGTTTCCAGAGATTTCAGCATAGCCTCACTTTTCTGTTGTGCAAACCATGCACACGATTCTTTCTGTGCCCTGATGCCAATACAGATGACCTGTGCAGGGAAATGCTGTGTATAGATGAAGTCTGAACCTGCCTATAAGAAAATACTGGCTTTCAGGTCTTATTTCTCTTGCCTTTTGAAAAGTGGGACTAGTCAGGGAGATGGCCAGAACTAATGCGAAGTCTGATCACCTGCCTTGTGCAGTAGCATATTCCAGGGAGGCTGTGGCTTGGGCTGGGTTGCACAGGGCTGTTAGATGCTGATTTGTCCGAAGTTTAGCCTAGGTCAGGTAATAGAGGGGTCTGCTCTTTGCAGCCACAGACCTGCACAGAATTGCTATTCAGGCAGCTGGTGTTTATCAGGCTCCACGACAAAACGCATTGCCAGAGGCTTTCCAGCACTGCGGTGCACAGCAGCCTGCAGGAGAAGCAGCAGAATTGAAATAAGAGCTACGAAGGAAGGTTTTGCTCGTCTAAAAACTTTCTGAAACGTGGGAGACTGCCATTCGTCTTGGCCTGCACATGGTTGAAACGGTCTAAAAGAAAACATTTGCTTCTGTGGTGGTGTTTGTTTTTTTTTGTTTGTTTTTTTTTTTTTTCAAATTGGACTGTGCATGACACTGATATCATTTTAATCCAGGTATATTGAACAGGCAGAAAACCAGGAATCTTTTACGCTGCAGTATCAGTCCAAGCAAAATGTACTCGGGAACCCTTGATGCCTCTTACAGCTGCACCAATACACTCAAAGCATGGCTGGGTATATTCATTGCTATTTCACATGTGGGTCTGTCCTTTTGTAAAAATTTTCCAGCTATGCCAAGTTTAATGGTGATTTTATGACATACATAAGCATTAACAAAAACAGAAGTAGAAATAGTTGAGGGGTTGTTAGTTGGATAGAAAACAGTGCCCTTTTCTAATGAGAGATCACCCTCTGAAAAGCACAAACCTTCTTGTTTGATGTGTCAGATGCAGAGCTATGAGGACAATCTCAGCACATGGGTTTATTAAATGTATGAAGCTACTATGTGATTTTCTTGCACTTCTCACTAAAAGATTGTGCTAAATCTCTTCTTCCTTCTAGGTCCCCAAGCAGTGGAAGCACACAGCCAAAAATTTGAGGTGAAAACCCTCTCTGGAAAATTGCTGTTTTCTGCAGATGACAACGAAGTGGTGGTTGGAGCAGAGAGATTGAGAGTTTTAGGTAAAAAATTATTCACTAAATCACTGTTTTAATAAGCGCCTCTTCAAGTTTTAGAATAGTTTTGCCTAACTTCCCTTCGTGCTTGGGTAAAGCTTCTTTTGAAGATAAAGCCTTTTGCTGTCTTTATTGCTTTGAATCTTCCCCAAGCAGCTAATGGCCAGGAGTTTCTATCTGAGGGTTTTTTTAACTTGCACAATGTGTTATTTCTGCTGCAGAATAAAACTCCCAGTTTGTCTGGCTCAGTGAAGCAACTTTAAAACCAGTTTTGGAAACCGAATAACTTTAGTCTTACGGTCTGGGATGAAGGACAGTGAGGGATCGCTGTAAGGATGCTTCCATGGCTGTAGTCACTGTGCCCAGGGAAACCTCAGGCTTCACATTTGTGATCGCACCACTTTCACCAGCTCCACCTTCGTTCTAAAACAAACACCAAGGAGGAGACCTGCAGAGAAAAAGTCAGCATGAATTAGGATCTCATACTAATTCTCTGAACAGTTTGGTGTCCGTTACATTAGTTGTCTTTCCTTAGCCACATGCGGGAGCACATTGTGCATCTCTGTGCCATCTTCAGCTATGCCGTGGGTGGGTTAAGTGCCCTGTGCACGGGAGCAGAGGCCAACCTTACCAATGCCTGGCGAGACAGAGCAGGCAGCTCGAGCCCTCCTTTTGCTGGTGTGGGATCTGCCTCCCCAGCTGTCCTGCCTGCTAGGCTTTACATCAGCAATTCCTAATGAAAACTGGGGATACACTTTGAGTTTGGAGGGTGGGGGTTCTTTATTGTTTGTTTTGATTTTTATTTTTTTAATTATAGAAAAGAAAGTTATGGTAATGGTAAAATTTTAAAATGTATTTGATACTTATATGAAATTACCTCTTAGGAGCTTGAATTCTCTAGCTCCTCCTCTTTGGTTAGTCTAAGATTTGCTTGTGAATGTTTTCATGTAGGACCAGACTGGGTAGCTCAATATTGCTAGCAGTAAGTCACATAGCAGTGCCACTGGTCTCTGTGGATGCACTGATACCTGTTTTCTAATGGCTTGATTTGGATGCATCTGTTCGCTCCAAATTGTTCCTTACTTCTCTAGTAAGCTCCTAAAAACAGAGAGACCAACGAAGGAGCTTAGAGTGATATATAGTATTTTTAATTATTATTATTTCTACACATTACGTAGCGTATTATTAGTATATTATGTATAATCTAAAGGAGCTTAGAATGAGCGCCTCAGAGTCTAGCCATCATGAATGGGACCTTGTATCCAACCCTTAACATTTTTTGTTACCTGATGTCTTGCTATTCTAGATGGTTCCTGTTTGTAGACAAGCCAGGTGTAGCTCTTGGAAGGTCACTGTTGTTACATACTGGACTAGTTCACTCACCAGCTATACAAAGTTAGGTGAGTTTTATAGGGTAAATGTTGAACTTCACAAAATTAACAGTATCTTTACTGTTAAGCTAAAGCTTAAAACTTTGAAAAGGACCATTCAAAATTCTTGCAATGTTACAGAGCTGGGGAGCATTTGTCACAATCCATGTTCTACCACAAATCTCCCTTCCCACTGCACCGTTCAGAGATAATTAATTGTGCGGTGTTTGTGCAGGGTAGATGAAGTCAGGAAGCAACAGTTTTTAAGTGTTTTCTTGGAGACTTCAAGATGAGAGAGATTTATATCATTGGTTCTCCAAAAAACATACAGAAACTTTTCCATACAAGTTGCAAGTACTCCTTTTCAGATTACATACTTACAAAAATATTGCTTTTTATTTACTTTGTATTTGGAGAAACCAGCAATTATTTTTTATCGTTATTTTGAGTTTCTGCCTTGTTTTAGTCTCCAGAATAAACAGCATCAAAAATATTGCTTACCACTGTAGTGCACTTTCATTTTTATCTGCAACTGAGCATTTCTTGGTGTTTATTTGGCTTATGCAGATCTATCAGAAAAGAAAAGGTAGAATGATACCACTGGTGATGTTACATGGCGACTATTTCAATGACCTTGAGCTGAAATGCTTTCAGAGTTCATGCTTGGCTTTGTTTTTCTCCAGCTTTGCTTCCCCAATCTAATTTTATCTCCAAAAGTGTTTGCCATGGCTGTTTGCCATGCTGGGAAGTGTTATACCATATGTTCGCATTTCTTCCAGTGTTTTTGTCTGCACTTGAGGCTAGTCCAACTTGTAGTACACAAACAAATTCCTTTGATCATTTTTCTGGTGTATGGGATCTCAGGTGCTGTTGGTATGTGTCTGCTGACACCTATCTACGCTATGTAAATAATCTCAACTTGTCCTTGTTATTGCTGAACACGTACTTGTTATAGAAGGAAGTGTATGTCTGCAATCTGGCATGAAAGTCATCTCACAGAGGTTAGAGCAGCAGTTACTGGGCTTGTGGCTAGCTTTTAATCTCGTTAATGATAATTACTTTTTTTCTTTGTATGCTCTTCAAAGTTGATTCTGAAAGTTTGTTCTACAAAGTAATGCTGAAGCCTTGTCATGAGAAAAGAGATGCTTTCCTTTTTTGAAATGGACTCTGCTCTGGGTAGCTAAAGGATTTTCCAACATCAGCAAGGCATTAAAAAGGGAGGAATACACAGAATTATGGATTAAAAAGATACAAGTAGGACATGTGCTGCATTTGATGGTGCTTCAAAAAAATTGCACAGCATGGGTAGTGCAGATTACCAAATGAAAGTGCTCTTTTGGTTGGCCCCCTCTGTGTTTCATGCACGATGTAATTTAAGAGTACTTCAATGATTTTATTTGATTTAGTGAATCCAGTCAAACCTGTTGTCATAGGAGAGACTGGAGGATAATGGGAACTTCTGTTTGAGGACAAAGGCAGCCCTCTGAGCCCTTTGGCCATGGTCAGCTCTGATAACATCTACACAACCGTTCCCAGACACAAGCACAAATTCCCTCTGCCTTGCTCAAAGCCAGGGAGCTCAGCAGCTGCATTGGTCCAGATGACTCAGAAGCAGCTCATGTTTGCCTACAAAAAGTCATATAGAAACTGAGCTTTGTGCCAAATCTGGTCTGCTCTTTTTCTTCCAAGCTCATCTGCCGGTGCCTGCAATTGCCCAGCCATCTCCTCCATGCTTGTGGTGGCATTGGATGGCAGCACCACCTCACTGTTAGCACCACTTTCTTTTAGAAGCTTCACTCCTGTAGTATTTGAGCACCTCATGGTCTTTTAAAAGATACTACAGCAAACCTCAGAGCCATTCTCATTCCTCAAAACCATGACTCTGGTTTTTCAAGGCTTAGATTTTGAAGGCAAAATCTGCCGCTTCTCTGCCCGCTAAACAGCGGTACGGTGCTGTTCCTGGGGTTGTGCGTGGCATAACGTGCAAACTTTCCCTGTGTTGGCCGTTGCCACGGTTAGCAGCGTATAATACCATGTAGCTGCAAGCTGATGCCTCTCTGGATGTCCCCCATGGGCTCATAAACACATACGGTCTGTGTTATGGGAGATGAGTGAGCTGGTCCTAATTGAATTCATATGTGGTACGTCATACAGCGGTTCTCCTTCCCCCCTCCTCCCTCCCTCCAGAAATGAAACGTGTTTGGCTCATCTGAAAAATGGTGCATAAGAAATACTCTTTAAGAGCATTAAAAAATAACTTTGATATATATTAATTACCAATTGCATTTAATAGCATATTGAACATTATAGCATTTATAAACAAAAGACAATCATAAAGCATTATTCTGACTGTTAATTAGCTCTATTTATTCTTCAGATTAGTTTTTAAATATGCCCTCTAGATGCTACTTGATACTAATTAACAGAGTTACATTATTATCTCTATAGAAAAGCATTTTTAATTAAATCTAAAGCAATTTAAATTAGCATAAGTTTTTACAGAAATTAAACTCTGGTCAGATGCTTAATTTAGTCTTATAAGACAACCTTTGATGACATGCCAGTGTCAGTTCTCCCAACGCCTTGACATCTTTTTTGGAGATTATTTTTTGAAGTTTGTTTTCAGGAAAATTTGCCAGCATACTCCGGTGTTTAATATTTATGATGGATTTAACCAATTTTTTTTAAGACTAAATATTGATGGGAATCCACATGCATTGCAGTGAGCTGAGATAAAAGCGCAAAAGACACATTCCTGCAGCTTACAGGCTTTCGCAGTCCCGGGTTTTGAGTGGTGGAGGAAGGTTGGCGTGGGAGGTAGGATTGCATGGGCTGGATGCTGTCCCGTTACAAATCAACCGTGCTTTTTTAACTACTCTTAAGATTAACATTTTGCTTTGCAATAAGGATAGGATTAATCATAAAACTGCGAGGTCTCTTTTCTGTAATAGAAGAATACAGGGGTTGCTCCCAAATTGCTCCCACTCTGGGAAAATGTGCCTCTCACTTGGACATTTATACTACCATAGCACAAGCTTTTCTTCTAATATAGCCTAATGATAAAAATTTGGCTAAAGCCTTTCCCTCTGGCAAACCCTAACTAAAATAGCTGTATTTAGAGCGGGGTAAGATGCCTTTCACCTCCCAGTATAAAGACTGCAGGAGCTTCTCTGCAGGAGACGTGTGACCCACCCACCACACATTGCAGTCCTCCCCAGCACCACGGCTGGATAAAACGTACCTTTGATCTCCCCATCCCCTTGCATTCCCTCCCTTCAAATAATTAGCCAGTAGCTCTATTTCTACCTCCTAGCTTTTTTCCAGTGTAGCATGTTCCCTCTGGGCGATGAACCGTGTGGAGCATGCAAATGCTGACCACAGGTTAGACTTTCAGGAATGTTAGTTTGGGAGCATTTTTTGTTCTAGTTTCTCTCCAGGTGCCTGGGAATGCACCTGAAAAGAGGAGTCAGCTGTTGAAATGTTATTGCACATTTATTAATAAGTTTGGAGTAATTAATTCCAAGGCACATTTCCAGCATTTTATTTATGAGCTGTATATTAAGGACTTTAGAAATTTAGTGGAGGAACACCAACAAAAGCAACATAGCCCAGGCTTACAGTCGATGAGATCACTAC